AGCCCACCCCCCCCCCCCCCCCCCCCCCCCCCCCCCCCCCCCCACACACACACACAGGCAAGAAGCAAATCATAAGAATCATGCAAATAATTGTGCTTAAACCCTGGCAACTGCCCACACCCCCACAATGGCATCTTTGTGGCCCCTGCAGGGGGAGGGGTCAATGGAGAGGAAAGAAGGCTGTACTAAAGGCCTTATCAGGCTGACACAGACGGACCAGCAGGCAGGACCCAGGGCAAGGACCTGGCAGGACTCAGCCTCCCCCTCCCACAACCACCAGCCCAGAAATGGCAGGGAGGCTGAGGGATCTGGAACTCTCCTCACTGATTCCTCCTGCTCAGAACACTGCTCACCTGCTTAATTCACCTGCCCCAGAGCCCTACTGCCCAGCTCCCAACCCTGGCACACAAGGCCCTCCCACCACCCAGGGGGCCAGTCTCCCCATCTCTCCCACAGTAGGGATCTCAGAAGGATCTCAAGAGGTTCTTCCAGCTCATTCTGTGGAGCCCTGTCCCTTAGTCCCAAAATCGAAAGCTCTTCTCCTTCCTTTGCCCAGGCTGTGGCTCCTCCCTGGCAAATTCCCTCCAAGTCCACCTGACCCTCCTAACTGAGCCCACACCAGACAGACAGCCTCCCCAGGATATTCACACATCACTACTCCCGCTGCCTCTCACCCCGGCTCCATGTTCCAACTTGGCCTGCCCTTCTCCACCGTAAGCCCCCAAGAGAAGGGCCCACACTTGCCCCAACTTTCTCCTCTGGGTACACAGTGGAGCTCAACCCAGGTCCTGGAGGGATCCAGATGTGGTGGCCAGAGCTCAACAAATGTTTGTGGAATTAATAAAATGAAGCTAAGAAACAGGCCACCTCAAGTTTGGCCAAAGAGCTCTCTCATCTCCCCAGCCCTGGGCTGCTGACTCGGAAACTAGCTTGAAAACTTCCTGCACAGCCCCAGAGTCCTGCCGCAGCAGGAGCAGAAATGCCTCTCCTGCCAGGAGGGGCCGTGTGTGGAATGGGGCTCCTCCCCTAGGCTGGCTGTCCAACTTTCCCTCCCTCCTCCTCTGCAATCTTTCCACAAACACCAGCTGCCCCAGGGTAGGAAAAGTTCTCCCCAGCAAGGAAAACTGCTGCCTTTGGGGTGCAAGAGTGTCAGGGTGGGCAGAGAGGAACCTGGGAGCGGCTTTCCCAGGGGTGAGCCTGATCACTGCCAGGAAGGCAGGGCTCCACAGAGCTCTACAGCCTGGCATATTCACCACTCACCGTTATCTGCTCAGCCCTCCCTAGGAGGGGTGGGTGAGACCTTTCTACACATAGGTAAGGAATTCGAGGCTCGGGGGGCAGGCGCTTACCCAAGCCCCCCTGCTTCCAAGTTACAGAGGCAAGACTTGGGCCACTTTCCCTTCTGCTCCCTTCCTCCTCCTAGAGGTCTCCAGGCCTGGATTTGGGGAAAGGATGGAGCGGGAGAGTCACTTTGATCCCTGGGCTGGGAATGATCCCAGAGGAGGTAGGTTTGTCACCCTTCCTTCGAGGTGGACCTGGAAATCCTAAATGAGTGAAACCGGAACTCCAGGGATCACCATCCCTTACCACAACCAGAGAGCTAAGGAAGGCCTTCCTTCAGTCTAACTTAACTCCTGCATGCTTTCACATCGGCCCAGCTCTGAGCTCAGTGGAGGACACCTTGTATAAGAAACACACCCAGCACAGGGTCAGGCACCAAGTAGGTGCTAGGAAAAGATGTGCCAGAGAGTAGATGTTCTTTGCTGGCTCTGTGTGCTTGGGTAAGTCCCTTTCACCCTCTCAACCTCATTTTTCTGTGTATCCCAGGAAGGGGATGGAGCAGACCAGCTCTGAGGAGACCTCTCTTTACATGCCCCCTTCTTCTCTGGTCTTGAGTTGAGACAGTCTATCCCTCTCCATTATTTACATTGCTGTGATTCCCCTTCCCATCAGCAGACAACCTTGCAACTTGCCCCTACTGAGTCTTCAAGCCACCCCGGAGGTGGGCTTGATCAGCAGGCCCATATGGCACATTCCCACAGACAAGGCCTGGACAGGAAAGCCTGGCTCCAGGATCTTCTGAGGATTCAGGCATAGAAATATCCCCCAGCCCAGAAGTCAGGGCTCTGGACACAGCGGGGGAACACCAAGTCCTACAGGATACAGAGGCGCCAGGAGTGAGAGGCTGGAACGAAATCCCCTAAGAATAATATTTAGAGAAACTCCAGGGGCTTGGCAGCTACCAAGGGAAAAAAAAAGTACCTGGGCCCCAGCCCCTACAGCCAGCCCAAGGCGGCAGCCAGAGGCCAGGCACCACCACACCAGGCCCGACAGCTGCTCCCATAGCTGGAGGAGAGCCCAGCTGGAGAGGAAGCCCCATCCCGGCCCGCAGACCCAGCTGGTGCTGCAGATAGGAGGTGGCCCCCATGAGTAGCAGGGAGGTCTTGGAATAGGCTGGGTTCCCACCCCATATGCCAGGGTTAGCTGACCTCAGGGTCCTCCACCTGGCACTGAGGTCGTGGCTAGGGCCAGGGAGAGAGGGCTAAGCCAAGTCCAAGAGCTGGAGGTGAGCATGACGGACCCCCTGGCACCTGCCCTCCAAGCTGGANACCAAGTCCTACAGGATACAGAGGCGCCAGGAGTGAGAGGCTGGAACGAAATCCCCTAAGAATAATATTTAGAGAAACTCCAGGGGCTTGGCAGCTACCAAGGGAAAAAAAAAGTACCTGGGCCCCAGCCCCTACAGCCAGCCCAAGGCGGCAGCCAGAGGCCAGGCACCACCACACCAGGCCCGACAGCTGCTCCCATAGCTGGAGGAGAGCCCAGCTGGAGAGGAAGCCCCATCCCGGCCCGCAGACCCAGCTGGTGCTGCAGATAGGAGGTGGCCCCCATGAGTAGCAGGGAGGTCTTGGAATAGGCTGGGTTCCCACCCCATATGCCAGGGTTAGCTGACCTCAGGGTCCTCCACCTGGCACTGAGGTCGTGGCTAGGGCCAGGGAGAGAGGGCTAAGCCAAGTCCAAGAGCTGGAGGTGAGCATGACGGACCCCCTGGCACCACCTGCCGCCACACAAGAGGCAGAAACAACATTCTCCCCCACACCTGCCTCCAGGTCCATCTGCAGCCCTCATCTCGTGGAGGATCGGCCTTGGCTGCCCCTCTGGGGACAAACACAGGCTTCTTCAGCTTCCCACACCAGGTGCCCAGGCACCTAGGACCTCAATTCATTCCTTCAAAAACTTGGAAGTACAGCGCAAACCTCTGCCCCGCACCCAACACGTCACCCGTTCTTTCCTTAACCCTTGCAGCAGCCTCCTTAATGGTTTCCCACCTCCAGTCTCACTCCCTCCCAAGTCATCTATCCAACCCACTCTCCCAGTTACCCCGAGGTCCAAGGTCTGGCACTGCAGGCCCTGGAAGCCAGTGCCTTCCACTGCTCCGTATGCTCCCCTCTGCTTGCCACGGCTCAGCCCTGCAGGCTCAGCTCCTGCATCGGCAACGGAGACCCTCACAGAGTTTCACAGGAAAGTCTCACTCTTTCCCCCGCACTCGCCGGCTCCTCAGGGTCCAGGTCTCCCATTTTGGCCTCAGACAAGCCTCCCTCAATTCAACTGCTCCCTCCCCTGAGCCCCACAGTCATGGCCCTGAGCTCCTTGGGAGGCAGTCTGCTGGCATTCCTGTCTCTCCCATAAGACTATGAGCTTCTCTCAGCCCTGTGTCTCGGGCTCCAGCAGAAAAGCTAACCTTCGTGGACTATTTGTAGAATGAAAAACAAAACAACAACTATTCTGTTTAAAAATATAATGATATAAAAATAAGTAGAAAAGGCAAAAACCAAAATGGCACAGACCATGGCTCCCTGGGCCCTAGTGGAAAGACCCAGGAAGACAGGCAGGCGGGCCCTGGTTACCCTGGTGTCCTGGACGGGCCTCAGGAAGCACTGGGCGGATCCAGAAGCTGACAAGACTGGTCATTGGGGCAGCCTGGTCACCCGGCTCTGTTACCAGGGTCTCAGACCAATGAGCTCACCCCTTCTGGGCCGCAGAGCCCCTCCTGTAGAATGGGACTGTCACATCTCCAGGGCTGTTGTGAGCACCAAGGAAGTGAACACCCACAGCCGGCTTTGTAAACTGTAAAGAGCTGGCCACATGAGTCTGTCTCTTCTTCCCATAAACTAGGCCTTTGCTCCTAGCCAAACTCTTGCCTGGAGCCCCTCCATCCTCTCCCTGGCCTCCCCAAGTGCCACCCACTCAAACTCTCCTCCAGGAAACCAGGTCTGATTCACAGTCCACATGGATACCTTTCCTCTCCTCTGAGCATCGGGCCCCTGGAGCATCACAGCAGGAAGCTCGGGCCCACTCCCTGCTCCCTTCCTCTTACCCCCATTTTACAGATGGGAAATGGAGGCCCAGAGAGAGCTGGATCTCACAGCGCGGGGGTGGATGGAACTGTGTCCAGGCCTTGCACATGTGTGAACACACATATAAATGGCCATGGTCTGTGCCATTTTGGTTTTTGCCTTTTCTACTTATCTCTACACACACATACATATACACGTGCACACACATGCTGAGGGAGGGAGGTTGGCTGCGGAAGGAGCTGAATTCCTCCTTCACCTGGAACCTTGTACATGCATGGTGGTGGCCAGGGGTATTGGGATTTTACAGGATCCGACTTTCCCTATCATCTTTGGGTTGATGAAACCAGGGCCCACTGTCAGGGGAGGGGGAAGGTCTTCTGTGGAAATGGCCTTTGGTGGAAAGACCTTGCAAAGTGCCTAGAGTCAGATCAAAGTCCAAGCCCTGAGCCCACCATGTACTCTGTGAGCTTGAGGGGAGTTATGGCACCTTTCTGAGCCTCAGTTTCCTCATCTGCCCAGTGGGGACCTCATGGGACAGGATTTAAGCCTCGAGGGAAGAAACCAGCTCTGTAAATGTATTTCCAATTCTGTCTTCCCAGAATGGGCAGTGTGCCCAGGTCCTCATCAGGGGAGAGCTTCACCAGGCTAGGAATCTGGATGGATCCCCAGAAAGTCAGAGGCTGGAGAAAGGGAACTAGCCAGCCCCCCCCCCCCC